CCTGGGCCGGGGGCTTCCCTCTGCCGCCAGGCTGGCCTCCTCCTCAACAGCAGCAATGCGGGCAACCTCAGCTGCGAGGCTCCTCGCATCCGCGGCGCCGGGACAAGAGGTGGGTGCCTCCAGAAGCCCCCGCCACATCCTCCTCATTGCATCCCATGATACATTAATAGACCACCCCCATGACCTCTGCTCTCCCTCCTCAACCTCCCACGGCTGCTCCATCGCAGTACTCGGCCCACTCGGGCTCCCTTCACGCATTAGGGCCCCACAGCTCTTAGGGCTCTAGCACTTTCACACCACCTGGTGAGAGCCCCTCACATCCCGGGCATCCCACACACCCCCCCACACACACACCCAGAGCTTCTGCGCACCCCAACATGCAGCACCACACAGCACACACAGTTGTGAGGCAAAAACCTCCTCCGGCAGCCCTTCCAGACCTCTTTTCCTGTCACAGTATATCTCAGAGCCACAGTGGCCAGGGGGAAGAAGGAGGGCAAGAAGAGGAAGAGGGGCTACTTCTGGAGGGAGCGCTCTGGACATCCTGAAAGGGAAGAGTTAGAGTTGTCGTCGCCTCTGCCTCTCACCCCAACCCCAGCCCTCCCACAAAAAGACTCTCAAATCTGCCTTAAGCTGGACACTGGGGTTGTTTCTTGGAGTTCCTGTCTGCATTGCACTCCTCAAGCTTCTCTGCCTCTCAGATTGGAGTTCTTCTGAAGGCTCCACGTAGCCTCTCTTCCTCAGAATTCCCCCAGCCCTCCCAAATCCCATCTCCAGCCTGCCTTTCCTTGGGTCTCTGGCAGCTCCGCTCCTGGAGCTGGCTGCTCCCCTCCTCACCCCATGCCTTTGTGTCACTTCCCATTCTCCCCTCTTCAGATTGCTCCTCAAAGTGACTCACTGCTCCCTCCGCTAACATCTTCGTTGTCTTGATGAATGTCTCAAAATACGTTCTCTCCCCTTCCTGCTTCCTCCCTTTCCATCCATGTTTACGGAACACCTGCTATGGTAGTCCCTAGGCTAAGTGCTGTCACCACAGGGGTGGACTGGACCCAGACTGCTCTCTCATTTGTCCATAGTCAAGTGCAGAGGACAGAAAAGACCATGGAAAATTCACAACTGCCACAGAAGCCCCACAAGAGGGTCTGAACCATGGGCACCCAAAGGAGACAGGTCTGAAAACTTCACAGAGAAAGGAACCTGGGAGCTTCGTGTTGACGTTAGAATTCAGCCAGCAGAAAAGGAGTGGAATTCTAGGAGAGGAAGCAATGTTAAGCGGAAAGAAATTACTCTAAATTGAAAAAAGGAAAGGCTTTCAGCCCAGTTATTATATACTATCACCTAGATTCCTCCATTTAGCAAATATTTACTGAACTAGAGATTGTGCCAGGTAGCAGGAATTATAAGTTGAACAAAAGGGACACAGTTCCTACTTCAGGGAGTTCAAAATTTAGTAGGAAAAACAGACAAGTAAGCAGGGAATGGCAGCACAAAGTGGAAGTGTCTTGAAAAGGAAAGACTGTGGAGGAGAGGAGCGTCTCCAGCCTAGCCTTGAGATTGAAGTTGGCTTCCTGAGCAGGTGGGCTGTGAATTAAAATTAAAAAGGTGATGGAGACCCAGCCCAGTGAAGGGGCAAAAGAAGCAAAAAGTATCCCAGGCCCAGAAATGGGATGTGTGAAAAGCTGAAAGTTTTAAGTCCATGGCACTTTTATTCAGTGTGACATACTTACTAAGTGGTTGAAACAAACACGATTGCTGATAAATAACAAACAGGCTAGAGACCAGCCTAGAGCATGCACAGAGAACCTGCCAGACCTGGATGTGGAATGTGGATTTTATCCTGATGACAGTGGGAACTACTGCCAGGATTCGTTAGGTAGTATAAAGAATAGATTGATGGATGAGGTGGAAAACAGGGATACTGCAGAAAGCAATTATGTGCACAGATCTGGGAGAAAGATGATGCCAGACTGAGGTACTAGCAATGCGGATGGAGAGAAGTGGATGGATTTAAGTCACTTCTGAAAATGAAATAAACAAAAGTTGATGTTTGCTTAGTAGTAGAGAGGGTGGAAGCGGTCAAGAGATGATATCAGGTCTCTGGCTTGGACAATCGAATGGATGTTCGTGCTATGTAATGTAAAATGTATCGAAGGAGCAGAAATAGGTGTGGAAAAGGGTAGTATCCTGCTACCTTGGTTTGAATCTGAGTTTAAATGCTGATTACTCAGTAAACTGTTGGATTCAGAGGTCTAGAATTTATCTTAGAAGTCTAAGCTAGAAGTAACAGGCTTGAAAAGCCACTGATTGCCTAGAGGAGGTAATAGAAGCCATGAAAATAGCTTAAATCATACAAAGATTGTGTAAAATGAGAAGAGGTCCTCCTGCAAGACCTTGCAGAAGAGTAACATTTAAAAGCCACACAGAGGAAAGAAAGTCCACAAAGCAGATTTAGATGAAACTATCAGATAGACAGGAGTTAGGTCCTTCTAGAAGGCAAGGAAAATGAGACTTTAAGCAGGGTAGGGGAAGTGATGTCAAAGCCTCACTGATGCAAATCAGATGAGAACAAATCAGCCAAAATGGTGCCCTTCAGATTTAATAAGGAAGAAGTCTTTAAAAGGACTCATAGGTGTTGAGATCTGACTCTCCTATTTTAAAGATTGGGGAGAGGAGAGAGCGAGAAGGAGGGAGAAAGGTAGACAGAAATACTATGGGGTTGAGGAAGGGTATGAGCACAAGTGCTCACATGTGCACACGCATGTGTGTGTATGTGTGTGTGTGTGTGCTGGAATAATAGCAGTAGCAGTAGAGATAGCATTTTTTTAAATTTTTGAAGTGTGTTCTCACTATGTTACCCAAGCTATTCTCCAACTGTTGACCTCAAGTGACCCTCACACTTCAGCCTCTCAAGTAGCTGGAACCACAGTGTTGGGACACTTTGCCTGGCTCTTTATCATTTTTGTGATAGAAAAGGGCCGAGAGAGGTGAAGACTGACATGCTGGTAACAAAGAGCATAGGCAATAGAGCTGGGGTCCCTGGAAGAGCAATACGTGAACAGATTTACACAACAGGAACCAGAAGAGGCCTCACTTACCTGGATGTTGCTGCTCACACACAGCGGATGCTACCCAGGCAGTTAGACATTGCTCTGTGAGCCACACTCACTCAGATATTACCCACACAGCCATGCATGTTTCTCAGCCTTGCTCCAGTGTTACCAATAGAAATTTGAATGATATCAACTTTGTTCTTACATAAGCCTGTCAACTTAAATGTCATCCACGTTCTCTCAGATGCTACCCACAGACAGGTGTTACCTACACTCACTCTAATATTGCCCAGTCATTGAGATCCTACCCATTCATCAAATGTTACCTTCATTTTATCTGCACGCAATCACATACTGCCCATGCTTTCATGCATAACCTTCCTCCAGTTATTACCCACAAAATCATAGAGATTATTTTCACACACTCAGATATTACCAGCAAAGACCTAAACATTTGCTGGCTAAGTTATTTCCCTTAGTCAATTAACATCTGAAACTGAGCTTAACTTGACATGTTAACCTACCTCCTCACATTCATATGCACTTAAATACTGCCCACACATATTTGAATATTGCTTCTGCTCTTTCAGCTATTATTATCATCCCTTGAATATTCCCTGATTCATACCTAGAGCTCTGAGTGTAACTCATGCCTCCTGAAAATATTACCTATAAAATAAGATGCTATCTAGAGACTCAGATATTACTCTTCCGTATTCAAGTGTTATAACACTGATTCAGATATACCTAAAGTTAAATACAACCCACAATCTGATATTACTTATAGACCTGTAGAAGTTACCTTTCTCCCAGAAAAATAAGGGTTACTTTCAGCCACCCATATATTGTCTCAAAGACTAAGGGTTAGCCAGTGCTCACGCTGATATTACCTGCACACCCTTGCACATTACTTCTGCTCCCTTAGTACCTGCTTGACCTATGCCTCCCATTCAATTGGTTAGATGCTACCTACACTCACCACAGAGACATGAGTATTACACTGATATCCATGTTCGTGGGTGACCAGATCCAACATAACAGGGGAAGACAGAACTGGAGGCCTCTGCGGCTTCAGTGTTCTGTGGAGTCCTTTCTTAGAAAAGCCTGGGTTTTGTTTTATGTCACATTATCTGGGTTTTAGCGTTCATACTTCTCTGCCATCATCTAGATGGAATGAATGCAGATTTTCCAGACTCCTGAAGAAGAATTGAACAGTTCCAAGCTTCTGAGTCCCCTGGTCTGATCTCTGCTGTTTTTTCATCCCCAGGAAGCTATTACCTAACAACGGACTGTCGCGGCACCGGTGCTGGTTCTCCAAGCAACGTTGCCCCCCATCCTCTCACCTTGACTTAGGTTTCAGGTTACCCAAGCCTCTGTGATCACTCAAATTCCACCACACATGATGGAATTACACATGCTTACCTAGATCTACATACACACACATGCATGCATTTTAATTTTTACTTATTTTGTATTTGTGACTTTTTAATTAACAGACTATTTTTAGAGCCATTTTGAACCCACAGAAAAACTGGGAAGCACAGAGTTCCTACATACCACCCCTCCATACACGCACACACAGAAACAGAGACAGATCAGAGTTTACCCTATTACTAACAGAGAAAGAGGAGATTAATACAAATGAGGAACCCATAAGGCCTTACGGGAGAGGTGGCAGTCCATCTGAGTCTCGACAAACAAGGGATAACAAAACTTCACCAGATATGGAAAATAAGTTTGTGATGAGTGTAGAAGTACAGGGTTGGCAAAAGAATATTTCAGGCACAAAAACTAACTTGAGCAGGGAGTCACAAGTGCACATGATGCATTCAAGAAACTGAGTCATCCAGTAGTTTAAGTGGGTGCAGTACAGGGAGAGGCTGGGAGGAGGAAGTACAGTCTCAAGGATCTTGTGAGATGCTAAGGGGTTACAGACAATGCAGAATAATTAAGAATGGGATGGGGATTGTTGTGTGGTTCAAAATGTGAGTGATTAACAGTGTCAAATTGTACAGGGAAGTCGAATACAACAGGCTAAAGGAAACTTTGGATATGGTGGTCAAAAATTACTGCTCTTGGGAAGAAGTGTCCAAACCAGTGATGGGGCACAGAACCTTGGATTAAGTGACTAGGAAGACACAAACACAATCCTTTCAAGAAGTTTGGCTGCAAAGAGAAAGCAACAAGCCCTGAGACAGACTTTCTTAAGGAAAAGAACAGTTGGGCCAATTTAACTAAGCCTCAAGGGCAAGTTAGAATGGTAAAGTACTTAAGTTCACCACTCACTGAGTAGGCCCTGGATGAGTGTGAGTGTTCTTGGGATACAAGGACGGGGCTGGGCAGCAAGGGTTGGGAAAAAGTGGAATCAAGGGGGTCTGGAGAGTGTGAGCCTGACCCCATAATGCCACCTCTCCCTTTTCTGCCCAGAATTGGAGCTGGCCATTAGAGTCACCCTTTATGCTGTGATCTTTCTGATGAGCGTTGGAGGAAATGTGCTCATCATTGTGGTCCTGGGACTGAGCCGTCGCCTGAGAACTGTGACCAACGCCTTCCTGCTCTCCCTGGCAGTCAGCGACCTCCTGCTGGCTGTAGCTTGCATGCCCTTCACACTGCTGCCCAATCTCATGGGCACATTCATCTTTGGCACCGTCATCTGCAAAGCAGTTTCCTACCTCATGGGTGGGTGAGACACCCCATTCCTTTGACCCTCTTCCCTCCTAAAGTCCTTGATAAATGTAGAGGTCTTTCCTGATGGGGAGCTGAGGAAATCACACTGGTGAGAGTGTGGTATAGGTTTCCAAGGTGATCCCTTCTTTTTCCCTCACTTAGGGGTGTCTGTGAGCGTGTCCACGCTTAGCCTTGTGGCCATTGCCCTGGAGCGGTACAGCGCCATCTGCCGACCATTGCAGGCGCGGGTGTGGCAGACCCGCTCCCACGCGGTTCGAGTGATCTTGGCCACGTGGCTGCTGTCGGGATTGCTTATGGTCCCCTACCCTGTGTACACCGCTGTGCAGCCGGTGGGGCCTCGTGTGCTGCAGTGTGTGCACCGCTGGCCCAATGCACGGGTCCGCCAGACCTGGTAAGGTGCCCATCCCCTTTCTTAGGGATTCTCTTCTCTGATGGAGGGAAAGGGGAGGCAATGGAAGGGAAAAGGTCGTAAAAAGAATTAAGATGTATTATGTACGTGTCCCAACTCTCCACAATGAATGTGACCATTATGTATTACAAACATGTACTAATAAAAATAAAATTTTTTAAAAAGGGCCATTCCCTTCTCCATCTCCATCAGATATTTACGGCTGTTCCCAGAACAGTCCTCCAGCTGCTCCAAGAACTACCATGCCAACTCCCACTCTGCACCCACCAGCCGGGAGTTCCAGTTTGGGGCAGGTCTCCCGCTCCCTAGCCCTTCCGGGTAGCATCTCTAAATCTAACTCCTGCCTCAGCTATTCGGACACAAGCCTAATCCTTGTTCTTCCTGCGCTTGGACAGAGCCCCGTGTGATTGCTCTGCCTTCTGTCCCCAGGTCGGTGCTGCTGCTCCTGCTCTTGTTCTTCGTCCCCGGAGTGGTTATGGCGGTGGCCTACGGGCTCATCTCCCGTGAGCTCTACTTAGGGCTTCGCTTTGACGATGACACCGACAGTGAGAGACAGAACAGGGTTCGAGGCCAAGGAGGTCTGTCCAGAGGGTCTGCACCAGGTGGGCAAACCCAAGAGGGGCGGAGCCTAGAGAAGGTGGGGCTGAGAGGAAGTGGAGGAGGCTGGGAAGGAGAGCTGGGTGGAGGGAGTGTCTCTGTGGGGCTCGGGCTCGTGTTAGAACTCTCCCTTCTGCTCTGACGCCCACTCTCTTTGCCCAGGTCCTGTCCACCAGAATGGGCTTTGCGGGCCTGAATCTGGCCTGGCAGGTGAGGACAGCGACGGCTGCTATGTGCAACTTCCACGGTCGCGGCCAGCCCTGGAGCTGTCGGCCCTGACAGCGTCCACCCCTGCACCAGGACCTGGCCCCCGGCCCACCCAGGCCAAGCTGCTGGCTAAGAAGCGCGTGGTGCGGATGTTGCTGGTGATTGTTGTGCTTTTTTTCCTGTGTTGGTTGCCAGTGTACAGCGCCAACACGTGGCGTGCTTTCGATGGCCCGGGTGCGCACCGTGCCCTCTCGGGGGCACCCATCTCTTTCATCCACTTGCTGAGCTACGCCTCGGCCTGTGTCAACCCACTGGTCTACTGCTTCATGCACCATCGCTTTCGCCAGGCCTGCCTGGACACTTGCAAGCGCTGCTGCCCCAGGCCTCCTAGAGCTCATCCCAGGCCTCTCCCTGAGGAGGACCCTCCTACCCCCTCCATTGCTTCCCTGTCCAGGCTAAGCTACACCACCATCAGCACGCTGGGGCCTGGCTGAGGGGTGGGGTGTGCAGCTGAGGCTGGATAGCATCCCTATAAGCACAGCTACATCCAGACGCCCAAGAAACTCAAACCACAGTTGACTAACACCTGACACCATGGACTAACCCAACACACAGGAAACAGTGGCAGTCCTGACACAAAAGGAACTGGAACACAGCCTCACACAGAAAGGCCCCAGGGCCTCCCTAGAGACATGGCAGTGATCTTGACAGGCCAACACAGCATCCCTAACAGCAGATGCAAGCTGGGAATTCCTAACAGCTGACCTGTCCCTCAATGCCCATGTACATTAGTGCCTCTGATTCTCTGGCACAGGGCTGATTTGGGTTGTTCCACGCTGTCCTCAGTTTGACCTCACAAGACCCTTCCCCGACTAGCACTGAAAACACCAGCAGGCCTAAAACCTCCCCAACCAGCAGGCTGTCAAGCACTGAAAAGTCTCTTCATCCCTTTCCAGTTAAGTACTGCAGCCCTGCCCCCTCATCTTCACCAGACCTCTTGAAGTAACAATAAATGACTTGGCCTTCTCTGTGACCTCCTTTCAGGACTTTCTTGAGGCAGGTGAAAAGATGTGGGATTTGGTGAAGTCCTTCCTGTCAGGTCCCTCCCACAGCTGTCCATTCCTGTGTACTATTTCTACCAAAAAGCCTATGTGCAAGGCTAGATGGGGCTGGTGCAGTCTCTCAGGATTGTCATCCTGGGCCTACCTAGTGGCGCAGGAGCTGGGAGTCGGGGTGGGAGGTGGGATATCTCTGCACATCAGGGTCACTGCACCATTCTCCCCTATGGTGCCATTGTTAGGGTACTATATTAATGGATGCTAACTAAAGTTTTGATAAAAGAGCAAGCACTGAAAATAAGACTCAGATTATTTCATGTATGTTTGAAATAGCAATCAGATGATGACAGGTATATAGAGGTTAAAGAGTAGGACTTTTTATTAAACACTTGTTCTCCTCTAGTCTCAGAACCCAGCCAAGATTCTGCCAAATGAAATCACCTTTGCTGCCTATAAAAACAGAACTGGGGGTAGAAGAATTTTGGGGAGAGGGCTAGGCCCGAACAGAAGTTTGAGAGCCCAGGTCCCCACTGGAATAGGCTCATTTAGCCCCAGAGAGAGGCAGAGATCAACATCACCTCTCCACATGCACTGTGACCGAAAAATGGGAACAGATGACCTCACTAGAAGGATATACTTGGATAATCAAGGGCATAGTGCTAGGAAAGGATACTTCATCTGTAATGGATGGGGAAACTGAGACCTAGAATAGGAAAGAAAGCTGTCCTAGGCCATACCGTACATTAGAGCAAGATAGCCGGGCATGGTGGCACACGCCTGTAATCCCAGCACTCGGGAGGCTGAGGCAGGAGGATCACTGTGAGTTTGAGACCAGCCTGGGCTGCACAGTGAGTTCCAGGTCAGTCTCAATTATATAGTGAGACCCTGTCTCAAAAAAAAAAAATACATTAGAGCAAGATAGAAATAACCATATTGACACAGACACTGACCTAGAGATGAGGAAAAAGCCACTCCCATGCGGGGGAAGACCCACATTGTATGTGCCTTTTCTGAAGAAAAACAAAACGAAATTAACAAATACAAAAATCTTTACTGACCAGGGCCTTTGAAGAGGGTGGTGCCTGTGAGAAGCACTGAAATTTAAGCCTCATTAATTTCTCAGCCCACATGCCTCCAAAATCCACCCAATAACAACCCTGGAGAAAGCTAAATGGACAAAAGGGCAGTGAGAAAGAAGAGTGGGTCTTCTGTTTACCAGAGCTGGGGTTTCTCCCATTCCTCATTTCTACAGGGTTTAGCGGTGCACAAGGCAGAAGGAAGGAAGAAAAGGAGGGAGAAGGCATTTCAAACTGACAGCCTAAGACAGGGAGGGTTAAAAATAGAATCCCTGCTGGTCTGAGTAGCTGAAGGGAAATATTGGGGCTTTTTCTCTCATGCCAGCTGTTCTGTGGGGCAGGAGGAGGTTTATCCAAAGGTGTCCCAGTGCGTCCAACCACCCCTTCTAAAGAAGTAATGAAGGGCGCCAATACCTTAGTCCTTCCAGCTGGGGCCTAGAATCCTGATGAGTACCAGAGGCCTCGGGATCTGAGTCTGGGAGGGCTACGTCTCTGAGCCTGCACTATGAGCCTAAGTACTGTGGCCCAGACCTGGCCCAACACCTCGCTCACAGGTGCAGTCTGAAAAACCCCACTTCACACCTAGTAGCTCTTTAATCTACAGAATACTTACACCTCCACCACCCTTCTGCGCCCTGTCTCGTTACCAGATTGGGAATCTCGGGCTTCTGTCATCTGTTTTCGGGAACTGATCATTTTATCAGGCCCAGATTTCGTATTGCTGTTCCCGGAATTGCTGCTTGGTCATTCTAGCAAAGCTCGAGTGTTTTGTGCATACAGTACTTTGTGCCTTCCATTTTAGTTCTTTGCGTTCCTAGCTGATCCCAGATTTCGTATTGCTGTTCCCGGAATTGCTGCTTGGTCATTCTAGCAAAGCTCGAGTGTTTGTGCATACAGTACTTTGTGCCTTCCATTTTAGTTCTTTGCGTTCCTAGCTGGTTTCCTGTCTTCAGCAGGGAGCAGAATGATATAGTGGAAAGATGACCGAGCCGACTGATGGAGCGGGCAGTGGAGAAATCTAACCCTTCCTGGTGCTCTGTGTCAGGCATTTTATATACATACGCTAATCCATTTCGCTTAGCAAAGCTCGAGTGTTTGTGCATACAGTACTTTGTGCCTTCCATTTTAGTTCTTTGCGTTCCTAGCTGGTTTCCTGTCTTCAGCAGGGAGCAGAATGATATAGTGGAAAGATGACCGAGCCGACTGATGGAGCGGGCAGTGGACAAATCTAAACCTTCCTGGTGCTCTGTGTCAGGCATTTTATATACATACACTAATCCATTTCGTTCTCAGAACACTTCTGCGGAAGATTTTGCTTCATTGGACAGGTGAAGGAAGTGAAGCTGAAAAAGCTTCAGAAAGTTTTATGAGGCCCGGCAGGCAAAATAGAGCCAACAACTGAGCTCAGGCGTCTGCCACCAAAACTTTTTCTCCTTCCATTGCACTGTGTTGTGTTCATTCAATCCTTGGAGACCTCAGTTGTAGTTCTGCTCTCCCTACCCCTTAAAAGTTATGTGATTTTGTGCAAATTACCTCAGTAAATTTTAGTCTTCACTATAAAGTGGGAGCAATTACACTAAGTTCACACTGCCACTAGGAAAATTAAAGAGCACCGAGTTGATGAAGTGCTTATCTTTGAATCAGTCACACAGCATAACAAGGACTAGACTTGAGATTGCTTCTACATCAGGAGAAAGCAACAGCACTGGGAAACAAGGTGTCTGAAGATAGACAGGACCCTCATCTGTATCTTAGGAATCCTCCAAAGGTTCATGTGCTAAAGGCTTAGTTCCCCGATTGGTGATATTAGGAGGTGGTAGAAACTCTAAGAATTGGAGCCTACTAGGAGGTCTTCAGGCAACTGGGGGAATTTTCTTGAAGGAGATGTTGGAATCTTAGCCTCTCCTCTTCTTTCTTTTCACTTTCTGGCAGTCGTGAGATAAGCAGCTTTGCTATACCACGCACTCCCCACTACTGTGAGCCAAAGTAAACCTTTCCTCTTTACAAATCGATTATCTTGGATATTGTGTTATAATAGCAGACAGATAATAAAGACAGCCACCAATAACTAAGATGGTATATTAGCTTCCCCTTTGGGGGACACAATACCCAATACCCACAACTTAAAAGAGGAAAGGTTTAATTTAGCATATGGTTCCAGGGAATTCAGTACATGCTTGGCAGGCTCCCAGGAAGGAACATCATGGAAGAAGGGCAACATAGAGTAAAACTGCTCAGTTCATTAGAGCCAGGAAGCACAGCATGGGAACAGTGCCAGAGAAGAAGGGGTGAGGGTCCAGACCAGGAGTAAGGCTACACTTTCAATGACCCGACAGACACACCCATAAGTGTATTCTCCCAACCTGCTGGCAGATCCCAAAGCCAATCAAATTGACACTCCTACCACCACAGAAGAACAGAACAGAGTCCAAAAGAGGTTGGCGCCTGTAAGATGATGTTAGAAAGTGAAGTCAGCCAGATGTAGTGGCACACATCTAAATTCCGGAGAGGTTGAAGCAGAAGAATCACAAGTTCTACACCAGTCTGGGCAAATTAGCAGGACCCTGTCTCAAAATTTAAAAAGAGAAAAAGAAAGAAAGAGACAGAGATGGAGATGGAGAGAGACAGAGAGAAGAGGTTGGCGCCTGTAAGATGATGTTAGAAAGTGAAGTCAGCCAGATGTAGTGGCACACATCTAAATTCCGGAGAGGTTGAAGCAGAAGAATCACAAGTTCTACACCAGTCTGGGCAAATTAGCAGGACCCTGTCTCAAAATTTAAAAAGAGAAAAAGAAAGAAAGAGACAGAGATGGAGATGGAGAGAGACAGAGAGAGAGACAGAGAGAGAGAGTGAGAGAGAGAGAGAGAGAGAGAGAGAGAGAGAGAGAGACTGGAGATGTAGCCTAGGGCAAAGGCCTTGGCTTCAATCCCCAGTACCACAGCAGATGAATAAGAAACAGAGGAAGAAAGGGAGGAGGAGAGGAAGAGGAAAGGGTTGGGGAGGAAAAGTGGAAAGGAAGGAAGGGAGGTCAGAATTTGAGTCCAGGACCAGGGATGTAGCTCAGTGGCACTGCACCTGTCTTGCAAGGTCCTGAGTTTGATCCTTGGTACCAGAAAAAAAATTTGAACCCAGGACTGCCTGACCACAAAGTCCATGCTCTTTTTCCTGTACATCCTGATTTCATAGAGAGAGGGATCATTCAGTGATGGAGAGGAATGAACTGATTAGGAGCAGTTTGGCAGCACTCAGGAGTCTTCCCAGAGCTCAAAGAAAGGACAGATGCTATATCTATAGCTCTGCAAGCTTGGATCCTTCAGTGAGTCGTGTTATAATATTCCCATTCCTGCAAAAAAGCCTTTGGATCATTTTTCCCAAAACAAAAGTGGGGAGGGCAACAGTCCTAGAAATGATAATCCTTAAAATTGTCCCAAAAAGCAAGTTGTATGGTCAAGTCTCAGAAACTCCAGGTGATACTGAAGAAAACCAGGGAAAGGGAGGTGTCACAGTGAGCACGCATGAGGCAGACCTTAAAAAGGCTGCTTTCTGTCACAGACAGCTCCAGCCAGGATGTTGGATGGCCATACACTCTGATTAATCAGGTCTAACTAGTGGGAAGCAAGGGACAGTTTAGGGACAGTTTTTTCCTTCAAGTTACCTCTAGAAGAGAGCAGATGGAAGAGAAGAAGAGAAATAAAAGGGTTGAAGAAGGAAATAGTTCTCATCTAGAGTCTAAGCTTTGTTGCAGAGATCCAATACCTAGAAGTGGGGCCCTCTTGGAAAACGTAGCCCATATTGTACATTCTAACTATGGTCCTTCACCTGCTTCCTGCTCTCTGAGCCTCAAACACTGCTTGGCAGACAGGAGGCCCTTAGCCAGATCTTGGTTCATCACTAGCAACCTGAACCTCTGGGTCAGGCCCAGGCTTTTGGAAATGAAGTTCTAGCCCAGCCACATAGGCACATGTTGGAGGCAGGAAATAGTTAACCAATTAGATTCATTGAATTACTGGTAGCATTTAGTTTTAATCAGTTTTAAGCGTCAGAACCCTGCCAAGGCATATAAATAGTGACAGATAAGATGTGCAAGGCTCCCGAGCAACGTACATTTAAATGATAAGGCTAGTTTGTAGGATAAGGCTGTCCAATTTCCCAGGGTGGTGAAACAGACTTTGAGCAACATAGGAAAGGCAGAAGCCCAAAATATTTCC